ATAATTAAAAAAAAAAAAAGAACACTTTCACGTTCTGTACCTCAGTGCATTTGCGTAATGCATGAGAGAATCCTTAAAGTTCTGGACAGAAAGCCCAGCATTCTATGGCTGAGGTGACAGGGATTGCATTGTGTAGGTAAATATACTTGAAGGATTCAAATTGTATTATTATGAATATTGTGGTACACATCCATGTCACAGAACATTTTCCATTTAAAGTTGTTAAAAATTATAGCAAAAAACATACAGATCAAACTATCTCCCAAATAGGACAAAGTAAATATTTTCCCCCATGTGCAAAGAGCCATTAATTCCATTCATCATTTTGGATAACCATGATTAACATCCATTTCCAAGTTTATCCGTCATAGAAATTCAGTGATCCTGGAGCAGCAAATGATTGTTTGTTGTGACTATATGAGCAGACGTTGTGCTTTATACTTTTAAAAAAATTTTTAATATTTAAAAAAAATTTTTTTTCATTATTTTATGTGTGTGTCCTGTCAAATCAGATCTGAGTGGTACAGGAGGAGATTGTCCCTCCTTCTCCAGCAGAGCATCTGGTGGATTCGAACCACATACCTCTGGGACTGCAGTGCAGCTTCTTTCCAGTAGGCCACCAAAGCAATCTGTTTACTTTTTTTTTCTATTTACTTTTTTAAAAAAATTCTTTTTTTAATTTTATTTTTATTGTGCTAGTTTATTGACAAAATTTGAATGCATTGTTTTTCACACCAGATTCTTCCGATTTCCCTCACCCCCATCCATCAAATTGTGCAACCCCATGATTGATACTCCCCCATCTCATCAGTGAGGATATGCTTTATACTTCTTAAAAATCTTTCTAGAACAAGCGTGTCTTGCTTTTAGAAACAAAGAATGCAGTAGTGAAATAAAAAAGGCAAATGAAAACCGAAAACCATGTTCCCAAAAAGTTGCAACTGAAAGGCTGCATCTTGAAAGCAAATCATTTTAAAATTGAGAGTTATGTATTTAATTGCTGCACATTTTTTAAAGTGACGACCGTGCTTAGAAACACATTTGCCGTTATTTGTGGCAATGTGTTAACTTGTTCCCTCTGTTGTGGAGTTGACCGATGGTGACCTGTCTCTAGGTGCCTGAGGTTTTCAATCTTCACAGGGGGTGGCTTCCCATCACTCTCTCCAAACAGCAGCGGGTGGATTCAAACCGCTGACCTTTCAGTTAGCCATGCATATAACCAACTGCACGACCAGGGCTCCCTATTTTTATTTTATGGGAGGTTAGTCGGGGGTGGGGGTTGGAGAAGCAACTGTCACCTCAAAACAGATTCTTACTGAGGACCAAATAAGAGGACCTAGGCCTGTGTAACGATTCCCCTCAAAATGTATGTCACCAGGCCAAAATGGTCTGTGACCAATGCGGTTAATAGATGGCAAATGGGAATGGCAAGCAGATTATTCGCCGGCTGGTAGCAGCAAAACTTGTCGACTGAGTTGGCTATTTCCAGATGACACCGGGTCCTTGAGTCACTGGAATCTAATGATCTAAACAGTGTGTTCACCCACGGCTGTCCAGTTGATTATGACACAGAATGACCTAGAGGACATAGTAGCAGCACCCGACCCTCCACGCTTCCAAAGCTGCAATCTTGATGGACTCAGACTACCTCATGGCGCTCCTGGTGGATTGGAAACCACTAACCTTTCTGTTGACAGGCCAGTGCTTAATCCACTGCACCACTAGCACGCCAATAAAAATTCTATGGAGTATTTGATTCTTTTTAAACACCCTGTATTCTTTTGAGAAGGTCCTCAATTGAGTCTTTTATGCGCTGATATGTCAACTCAAAAGGGCTTGGATTGAGGACTGATGAGGAATCGTTTCAATTGCGACATTAAATTACATTAAGAATGTGTTTATCTTTCATATTGAGTTAAAAGACTACCTAAATTCCACAAGAAAAAAGACTGATAACCCAGTTACAAAATGGGCAAAAGACATGGAAAGAATTTTCACAGAGGAAGATATTCAGATGGCCAACAGACACGTGATGAAATGCTCTAAATTACTGGCAACAGGAGAGATGCAAATCAAAATTGCAACGAGATACCATCTCACGCCAGTAACAGAGGCAAGGTTTAATAGGACAGCAAGTAATGAATGTTGGAGAGGATGTGGTGAGAAAGGAACTCTTCTACATTGTTGGTGAGATTGTAAAATGGTGCAACCATTCTGGAAGGCAGTTTGGTGCTTCCTCAAAAAACTGAACATAGAAATTCCATATGACCCAGCTATTCCACTACTTGGAATATACCCTGAGAAAATGAGAACTGAGGCACAAGTGGAGATTTGTACACCAATGTTCATAGCGGAGTTATTCACCATCACAAGAACATGGAAACAGCCCAGATGTCCAACTGCAAATGAATGGATTGAGAAATTGTGGTACATTCACACAATGGAATACTACACAGCACACAAGAGCAATGATTTTGTAAATTATTATCTAACCTGAGAGAGACTGGAGAGCATTATGCTGAGTGAACTCAGTCCCGCAAGGATACATATTGTATAAAACCATTATTGTAGAATGAGTATAAGGATCCAAGGGGGGTGAGAGAGGTTGGAAGCAGAGGGATGAGGATGTGCAGGGGGAGGAGGGATTATGTATGGGGTTGTACAATTTGATCAGGGGTATGTGAGGAAAATGGAAAGAATTTGTTCCTTGAAAATAAGGTATTCAAATTTTGTAAATAAAGTAGTAAAATTTTTTTAAAAAGACTATAAAAAAAAAGACAACCTAAATTGATTTTAACCATCAATACATAACATTTGGAAGCAGGAGTGGCATCCACTTCCTTAAACAACATGCCTTTGGAAACTCTATAAACTTGGCGAAACAATAGTTCTAGAAAGCCTTCAGGTCTTTTGTTCATAGGGTCGCTATGAGTCATGCTCGAATTAACAGCAATCAACAACAACAACATAACTTAGCAATGAATTACAAATGTAAGTACTTGGGTAGTAGGAAAATTTCTAAAATAAAGATGATGTTTTCTTAAAAATAATGCAAAAAACCCTTGTATTTCTGTAGGAAAGAAAAGCAGTAAGAGGTTAATAACTATGATCTGAATCTCACATAATGGGCACGTCTAGGGAATGTCCCCCTTGGTGAAGTTACAGGGTGATTGAAGAGGAGGGGGGCTCCTTACTGAGATGATTGACACAGCCTCCGTGACAACAGGCTTAAGAACAGCAGAGATTCTTTTTCTTTTTTCTTTTTTTTACTTGTTGTGTGCTGTCAAATTAGATCCGAATGGCACAGGAGGAGATTGCCTCTCCTTCTCCAGCAGAGCATCTAGTGGATTTGAACCACACACCTCTGGGATTGCAGTGCAGCGTCTTGCCACTA